ATGCCTGCGTATTTTTCTCGCGAGGGTTATACATATATTATCTTTAACCCTTTAGAAACGGTTCGACGGTTAACCTTTGCGCCAAATCGATTTGGGCCACTTAATTCCGCTGATAACGGACGAATCTTGAGATCACTACGGATTTTAATCCTTGCAAGTTTTCAAACATCCTTACATTTTCGATACACCAAAACTTTTCCCAATTTCTACTCGGGAAAAATGTTTTCGGGATCGAATTAAATTACTTTGTTATTGGAAAAGTTGTGAACTTTTAATGTTTCAAGTTTATTTTAACGAAGCAATATACAGGGCATGTTTCAATTAAGTGTTTGAGTACTGATCGAAAAATCATTAAAATTTAATAACGTTGAATTGCAACGATACAAAATTTTTTCCTAAATTGTCGTTACTCCAAATTTATTTATTAGTACTTTCTCAATCAAATACCTTTAAACGAGCAATTCTTGTGAATGTATATATAATCGGAATCTCGGAAACGGCTCCAGCGATTTTCATGAAATTAAGTATGTGCGTAGGGTACGAAAAATCGATCTGGCTAGATTTCATTTTTAGTAAATGTCCTTTTATCCCTGTTTCCAGGGAATGAAAAATGTCATTCGAATATGACGGTAAATTTCGGCGAAAAAAAAATTTTATAATAGCTCGATCGGTCGGCCCCGAAACAGAAGGCCGCGGTTCGTGTCACGATCGTACACACTTATTTTTTTACTTTTTTTTATACCAGATCATTGCTTTCTTTCTTTTTATTTTAATTTCCAAAATACACAATTCACCAAAAAAAAAAAACCGCTCCTCCAAGTACTAAATAGTGATAAGAGAAAATGGCCGGTCCTTTTCTCGCTAATAAAGTAAGTAATCTATTCAGTTGGCGTTCTTGGCACCAAGTCGTATGATTTATTTGAAGTGATATACTATGTCGATCAAAGTCGAATTCTGTGTAAAGATTTGGGTTTAAATATTCTAGTGTCCTTCCCTTTCGTGTGACCTGCCTGTAATCGGTTCTGGATCTGGGTGATTTTCCCAAGGAGGGTCGAAGTCAGGCAGGTGGTAATATATGGTGCACAGAATAAAAACAATAATCAAATAATATAGCAATGGCGAAATCTGTCGTTCGAATTAAACGATATTTGGAATCGAACGATTATGTATATAGCAATAAATGCGCCAAGCTTTGCATAAAATGCGAAAAAGCGATGTTGATAAAATACTTAGAGATTTTCATCAGTGTTGCAATCCACCGTTTAGTTTAGTGGTTCCCACAGTGGCGAAAACTTTTCATCTACTTTTATTAATTCTCGAAGTTAGAGATTTTATTTTAGGTGCAGAGTAAAAATAAATCAGTGCCTACTAGTTTAGATTGATATGTTAAATTTTCTTTTATTTACATTGTAAATTTACATTTACCAGAAAGCTATAGAGTTTTGTTATAACCAATGAAATCTTATGTACATTTTATTAAGACGTTTAAATGAAACCTGACTACTTGTAATGGCTTTGTTGTGTTTGTATCAACGGCTTTTCTTCCTGTATAATTGTATATATCGAAGAGAGTTCTTTAAGATGCCAAAAAGTTACGAGTGAAGACTAACATAGCCACAAGTATAAACGACTAAACCATAATAGGTCGGTACGATTCCGTGAGTTCTGTTTTAAATGCACATTTTAATATTTAATAGTGCGTCTATAAAACCTCTCTCTCACTTTCGCGGGCGCCTCTAAATCGATGCTTTCAAGCTTTTGCTCTTTGAGCCATTGAGAGCACTCTAAATTTCAAACTCGCTCTTTTGAGTTTCACGAGCTGCACAAGCTAGTGGCTTATTTCCACTTGCCCTCTACAAGGTTTCGCTTTAAATGTCTAAATGTTTGAACGCTTGGTGCAGTGTGCTCAGAATTTGTATAATATTGTAGGCTGTTAAATTGTGGTTTGTGGGCCCGCGTCTGTGGGGAAGACGTTGAATATATTTTGGTTCATGAATAAGTTGTGTATACATTTGAGTTATTTACGCTTACAGAGGCCACATTAAGGTCATACACTGAATTAAAGGAATCCAGAAATTCATGATTTTGACTTTATGTCAGGCTGACCTAAAACGAGTGCATTTTTCGACTCTTACTGAAACACTGGATGATTTTAGACGGATACATAACGTACACATCTGTCTCTTTCATTCCTCTCCAATCACCGCATTTGTTCTAGGGTGCACAAATTTTTATTTTACATTTGCCAAAAATTTATATTTTTTTAATACGTCACTATAATTCTAAGTATGCGAGAGTGTTTCGTTAACTATGTGAAAACTAAGAGCTTTCTAAAATAAGTATTGTTGAAATAGTTAATTGTATGTAGACCGAAATATGTGATGCTATCACCGATTCACTGAGTCTATAAATTTCCAAACTTGTTCAACATTCCCGAAAGTTAGGTATAGTATTTTGCATTTCGAAAATCTTGACCCTTACACACTGTACACTACTACTTTGTCGAATACCTTTACCACTCAAATTAGAAACCGTCACCGTAGATCAGAAACCATCACTAGCTCTATTAAAAACGTCGACACAAAAAGTGGCACTGAACGCGATTATAAGGAGCTTGTAAGTCCACATAAATCGTCATAGCATTCTGGGGAACAAAACTAAAGCATCACAAAATCCACAAAACAAATGAAACCATAATCCATATCAGATCATAAAATTCAAGATAGAACTACAAATTTTGCTATTTTAATGTATAATAACGTACCGTCCGCCGCAAATCCAGCCGCTGCGTCTTCAATCCCAGATTTACTCCAACGTGCCCCGTCTAATTTACTCCGCAAATCGGATTAGAGTAAATCAGAAAATCTTATTATATCATCCGCTAGAACGTCCGAGTTATATTCCGTTTACATTTTATCATTACAATCTCCAAGCGGAGCGGCAACTGTTACAAATACTTTATTATTAATAAATACTTTATTTGCACTAATATCGTTTGTTTCATAACAATTTTTCGTCACATAAGTGACACTGGTAAAAGTACCTATGACATTCGAATAAAACGTACTATCACAAAGAGATTCACACAACGTTACGATCGGAGAGATATTAGAATACTATTCTTTAACACTGACTTAAGTACAAACACAATTCTAAATAACTTCATAACTTTGCCGGTGACGCAATCGGTTTTGCCACTTCTAAATCTGAACGGTTGTAAATAAATGTTGAGGAAACGGGGAAATCAAATCGAGCATGCGATTCCAACAATGTGCCAACGTTGTGGCTAAATGCTGTTTTTCCGTACAGAATGAACGTTAAATCTGAAGATTCATTAATGTAGTGCGAAACGCGACAGACAACACGATTCAATTCAATGTGGGCTGTAGCAAGCATATGCCGCAGTTGGGATGCTAAACTACAAAAAGACTCTTCGTATATTTAAATAAACAAGTACGATAACGTACATAATATAGTAAAATTGAACAGTTTTATTAAACTACCAAATGGAATGTGAAACAAACAAAATCAAATTTTATTGATTCGCTGATATTTTTGACTTGTGTAGTTCATATTGGACAAATTTTCAACTCCTAGTAAATCATAAAAATAAGTCGCGGCTCCCTTAATTTAAAGTAATATGAAAATGAAGCCGATTAACGGTCATTAAATATACGTGAAATGCTTTAATGCTGTTTAATTATTTGAGATACGGGGATATGAGCTTATTTCTCATGTGCAATAATAAAGAAGATTTAAACGATCTGGAAAAATTATCAGAATCAGATCAAAATTTTACTTTTTAGTACTGGGCTGAAATAAATAATGATAATAAAAAAATAAATGCTGTTAACAACGCGAAACCTTAGACTCTCCTATTCAAAAATAATTCAGAGGCAAAAACTTCGAGGTAACTGGACCGGCGGTGAACTTCTATCTAGGACATCAAAGTAAAGAAGTATAACGAAGAACTTGCAATTAAGATTAAGAAAAATTAAAAGCGACGAGGAATTAAGAGTAAAGTGAGGACTAAATGCTTGAATAGCAAAATAAAACCTATCGTTATAAAAAAAACTCAAAGTAACACGCGATGGTGGTTATACCAAATTTAATGGTGTCTTTTCACATATACCAAAAATCATGTCATGGGACAGGCGCATCTAATTACACTAAAAGGATAAATTATGATAATGGAAAAAAACAGTGTACAGTTAAATATTTAAATATTTAAAATTTTTAAAAATTATAGCCAAGGAGTCTGAAGCACTAGACTTAACAATAACAAAGAAAAAATATCATGAAATAAATATGAAAGCAAACTATTAAAACTTGTTAAAAGTTGTACGGCAAAGTTATAAGAAATGTTTTATTCGAAAAACAAACAACAGCTAATTTTAGAATTTCATAGATTTAGTTTACTAAGTTTCTACTGTTATTACTATTCTTATATTCCAACGGTTTCGAATTGCGCGTGGAAAACGGAAAAATTGAATGAAGGAAAAAAGTAAATTTAAAACACTCCCCGACACCGATCAAAACTTCTTGAAACCGTCTAAGTTCGAAATGCCGAAAAAGTTCGGACGAGCAGTACAATCGCGGGAGGAAACGCGAGCGACTGCGGAGAAGCCAACGCTGGCCGAGGAGCGTGGCCCACGCGATAATTCAAATACTAGGTTAGAGTCCAATTAACAGGCGTAGGCGGGCGGCTAACAGCTGAGTCACTCATTTGAACGTAACGAAGTGAATTAGCGCCAGTTAGCGGCCGGGCGCCTTGGAGCCCCTCGACGGGTCCGGTTCACGTGGAGAACTGAGCCACCACCAGCGAGCGCCTCTACTTATATGCCCGCCATGGGGGTTGCGCGCGCACCGCCAATAAAACCAAATGCCAGCGCGCCCCATAAACTGTCCTCATTAGCGAAAGGGCGCGTCGCTCTTGTATACACTGCTTTATTGCAGGTACGGTCCCTCGTTCGGGCCGATAGTCTGTTTGTTTTGCTTTAAGGCCGCTCATTGTCTTTATCGTGTGCCTTCGAGGAGAGGCCGGGGTTAATAGCGCGATGGGCCGTTACGGGGTCGCCGCAATATGGCCGCGGCACCGCACCCCATTCTAAGCAAATGTCGGAGAGCTGTTTATCGGCGCAAGGCGCGGCCGGGTGGGGCCGGCTGGTAGTGCGGCCCGATTTATCAGCGCCTGATGGAAGGAGTATCTGCCGCGGCTGCCTTCAGCGCTTCGCCCTAGCGGACTTTTATGGGGCGGCAGACCTTTATTGGCCGACGTTACGTGAACCTTTTCCATTTCGCCGATGGCATTCTGATTTATTGTCTCGCTGATATTACGTGGACTTAGCTGGGGTGGATTGGGCATAGGTCAGACGCTAATACCATCAACGCTCGGTTATTCCAAGAGGAGGCCATTAAAAAGCGTTACGAGAAAGCAGCATTGTTTTTACCTATTTTGATAATGAATCACATTCTCCCATCGTTATGTAAGGAAACGACTATATAACGATATATAGGTCACATTTGAATCGATATTTTACACGTATTAATATGCTACTGAAACATACCTCCTCCTCGTTTACTTTACGTTAGTGAAATTTCAATGTTCAAAACATACACTAATGAATAAATAGTGTCTCTTTTAAAATTAGTTTCCTCTCATCACATATATGTTCGCACATGAATAAAAGTGTGCTCTTTAAGATTGCGTTTCCGTTTTTCATTTTTTAATTTAATTCAGTTAATATCCTTGACAATTCATACAGTCTTGCAAGAACTATATATATGTTCATGACAATTTCTCTACAAGATTTTCCACGTATTACGTACACTTCGAGACACGACAGCTAACACTCGCGACTTTACCATTACCAGAAAAGTGACAGAATTGGCAAATGCTATACGCATTTAATAAACCTAAGTCACAATTTTGACAAGTGGTAAATCTGCCCCCCTCTGTAAGCAAATATTACCTATGCACTTAGGACATAATTACGAAAGACTAGATATTGAGTTACCGTGCGAACAAAGGGCTTTGCTTATTGCAACAAAGTACCAAAGTGGGTACAATTAGAGTACAGTTAAATTTTTACACTTTAGTTACACTAGAGTACCTTACTGTTGCAGGGCCCCGCATTAGTTCGCTGTTGCACGAATGGGCAGGTCCTTAAGGGGAAGTACCACGACCTCACAGAAGACCAGCGTGAAGTGAAAGTGTTGAGCTTCTGCGTTTCTTCTGGTGAGCGAGGTAGCTGGGAGCCACTCTTTTAAAAGGTTTGCAACGCATCTGCAACTCTACGGGTGTTGCAAATGCCCACGGGCGGCTGCTATCACCTAAGGTGAACCAGCTCGCTTGCCACCTTCTGACATGAGAAAAAGAAAAATAGATTCGAATTCCACGTGAGTGAAATCGTCTCAAAATCGAGCAGTAATGTAATCTAACTTCCAATATTACTTGAAGGAACGGAAGTAAATAGATTGAGAGGCTTAATGCGATGTAATCAAAAAACCGTACAACAATCACAGCATGAACTATTTTTTTTTTTCAATCATATATACGAGTATTACTATAAAAATAATTCCTATTATTTTAGGTATTTTTAATAAACGTTCGGCCATGTCATAAACAAAAAAATACCAACTTCATTTTCTTCTACAGTAATAGTAAAATGTCATTAGGTCACAGATATCTATGGATATGTTTGTAGCGCTTTCTAGTAGCTCGACTGTAATTCATGAAATGGAAATCACCGGAAGTGCAGTCAGGGGCGTCAACTAGTTATTGCTAATGTTATATGGTTTACCGTTACTGTTTAAGACTGTCACTGTCAGTTTTTTGTAGCAAAGAGCAGTCCTTATTTTTTTTTATAAATCGCTTCTAACGAGCGGACGATAACGGGTGACAGCACCCACCGACCCAACCCTCCGCCCCAGTTTGATGACATTTATATGGCACCTACAACGCATTAAATTGCTCGCGTAAAGTCATTCGTACCGCATAGCTCAAGGGTTGAGCGACGTTTTACGACCGGAGGGCTGCGGGTTTGATATTGCACGGCGAATTAGATTATATGGGGACATTGGCATATATCTTTGTGAAACGTACATCTGTGCAAATTAATGCTACACAAATTAATGATTAATGATACACCTCCAAGAAGTTATATGTGATATATTGTTTTTGTCACACGGGTGATAAATTATCAAAAGTTATAATTTATGAAGTAAGAGGGGAAAATTAATGTCGTCACTGACAAAACTCTTACCAAGGTGAATTGTATTAAGTGTGATAATTTACTAGTCTATAGCCTGATTCTTTTATTGATATATAGCCTATACATAGCTTATCTAAAGGTTCACTTCAAAAACTCAACCATTTTTATATTCATACAAATTTATTGACTTTACGATATTGACAAATACGCTTTAATCGTCAATTTAAATACTTGTTTGTAGATATTTTCGTATATTATATTAAAACTCAACTGAATTCAAATCGGTGAATTTCTTTAATATTAAAATTAATACATGTAGAAAAAGTACGAAAAGATTGTCGCCGCTGTGGGAATCGAACCCACATCTTCGGCATTCGCGGCCTGACGCTCTAGCCACTGAGCTAAACGGCTGATAGCCACAGCGACGAAAATCTTAACGCCTTCTTTCTACATTGGTATTTAGCATTTCTTATATAATCTTATATCTTTCTTATATAATAATACAGTAATCATCAGGGTAATTAATAATACTGAGGAGCAACGTGCTACACTTATTTACTTCTAATCTCATCATCTTTGGTTAGAATCGTTATAACTTCTAGAGGTACTGTGATAGGGCCACGCGACAACTTTCTTTGTTGCACAAATGGTCAGGTCCGTACTTGGGAATACCACAACCTAACAGAAGACGAGCGTGAAGTGGAAGTGTTACACTTCTGCGTTTCGTCTGGCGAGTGAGGTAGCCGGGGCCTTTATTAAATGGTAGCAACGCATCTGCAACCCTACGGATTGCAAATATCCATGGGCGGTGGTTATCACCTAACATCAGGTGAACCGCCAGCCGGATCATCACCTTCCACATAAAAAAATATAAATAGAATTCCACTTTAGTTTACGTCTTGGTATGTATATTGTGCCGGTATTAAAAGATAACCACGTGCGATAGAAAGGCGTCGACTGCAGATTAATTGAAAGATACTCTTGTCGTCGCCTCAGTTAACAGCCAATTACCACAGTATTGATCTTTTCGAGGTACGTTGGTGTATACGTACACTTTTGCGGAATATCACTTCGATGGTACTGAATAAAAATAACAGTTTTATTTACAAAAAACAAAACCAACTACAACTCACTCATCATACACTTTCTTTTAAGGTGCATCTTAATGTATCGCCGTGTATGAGTATGAGAGTGTGTATGAGCCGTGATAGCTCATTGTCCGGGCTTTGTATTGTGTTCTTACCAATTCAACAAGCTATTTATGAACTTCTGAACTTATGCGTACTGATTTCGATACTCAACCGATTTCACCGTCGAGAAACGTTCCGGCTTCGCCCCCGTAGGTCGTAGCGTAATGTTCAATACCTTATAACCTTCCTCAAGAATTAGGCTATAAAATGTTAATATATTTTTTCAAATCCGACTCGTAATTCCAGAGATTACCGAGTTCAAACAAACAAACTCCTCATCGTCATTGTTATTGTTATCGTATTAATATTATAAACTATAGTATAGATATTAATTTCGTTGTTATTATATCTTGGCCTCCGAAACATTAAAAAGTAGTAAAAAGTAACAGCCTATACATGTCCCACTGCTGGGCTAAGGCCTCCTCTATACAGAGGGTATCAGGGCATAGTCCACCACGCGGCCCTACTGCGGATTGGCGGACTTCACATATCTTCGAAAAATATTTTTTTTTCCTCACGATGTTTTCCTTCACCGCAGAGCACGTGATAAGTCAGCACTTAAAGTTAAAAACTTCATTGGCGCCGGCGCCGGGAGTCGAACTCAGGTTGCTCGTTCGAACACTGAGCTATCATGGCTGAGTACAGAATACTGAAATAAAATTTTATTTACCGTTTGTACGTAAATGTTACGTATGTGTACGATTTTAGTGACGTAACCCTACAAGGAAATTTTTTATTAATTCCTTATGTATGGGAAATCCCTGAAAAATATATTTTTTTCAATACCGGCATAATAATAATTTGTATATTTTTTGTGTGAGAGAATGTGGCAAGCAAGCTGGTGGTTCAGCTGATTATAAGTGGTAACCACCGCCAATTTACACCGTAAAACGCGAAGAGTTGCTGATACATTGGCACCTTTTAATAAAGTGGGCCCCGGCTACCTCACTCAACGCAGGATTGTAACACTTCCACGTAACGCCGCGGTCTTCTGTGAGGTACTTCCCCGGATGGACCTGCCCAATCACACAACAGTAAAGACTATTGCGTCGCGCTACCACAGTCAAATATTACGGTTGTATACAACTAAATTGGTCACTTTTTAAACATTTTGTTTTACTTATTTTTTTCATATTAAAGTGTAAAAAGAAACCGTGGGGTTATGCCTAGTTCGTAGAAAGCATTCGATAGAAGAATTTCCTTTCTTCGCTTCCAGTTAATTACTTTAAAAAATTCAAAACTATTAGCAAAAAAGAACACTGAGTTATTGCGAACAGTGGAGAGATATTTTCTTTTGTCCATCGTTGGATCGTAATCGAAAAAAAAAAACAATTGTTACTTTCACTCGCGAACATGGACGATCCTACGCTCGAACGTAACTCTGAACCCCATGGCTAAAACAATCAGCATTATTAAAACAACTAACTGCGTCAGTTTGGCCCAAGTCAAAGGTTTATTTCTATACAAATATAAATAATACAACTTTAAGTTTTTTAAATGTACGATTATTTTAATTGAGAAACTTAAAATACATGTGACTACGCGACACAGCGAAAACATATTTTAATTGTTTAACGGATTTATATTGTGCCATATACCTGAATATACACTTTACCAAAGATAACTAAACACTTTTATATACACATCTATCCGTTAATATGTGTTAGAAAATATGTTACATGGACAGGATTTTGTAAAACAAAGTTACGTAACAGCCTATACATTATGGCCAACAAGAGAACTACAACGCTCACTATATTTTCTTTTATTATTAAAGTTATATATAAATTAGCAGTTAAAATTGTCGCTAGCAAATTCCAAAACATTTAGGTACCGGGATTTGATCTCTTGGACGTTGGGTTCGTTTAGGTTCTAAAATTGACAGATAAGGATTGCAGAGCGTCAATAAGTCGAAAACAGGAATATTTTGATAGGATAACAGCACATTTTTAAATTAGTGT